CATTGTTGCCATTGCCTATGAATTACAGCAAAAAGAGGATACGGAAAAGAGTGGGAAGAAGGGCTGAAACTCTCTTGGCATTGTTGTAATTAATTATCTGTTTTGGGTATTTTTGTGCTTGACTTTTTCTTTGGATGGTTTCTTAGATTCCTTCTGCATTTGTGTATTAAGCTATACTTCGTTTATTTGTGTTGTATAATATTATAAATGGACGTAATATGTCTACCTTCCCGAAATTAACAAATCCCCTAGGACCTCGCTTCAAAAAGTTGCTGCAAGAAAGAAAACAAAATTTTTACTTGAAGTTGAATTAAACAATTTTGTTGGTACCAACTTAAACAATTTATTTATCCTCATATTCTATCATTTTTTTACTTGAAATTCTTGGGTTTGCACATTGTCACCATTGGGTATAAGCAGCCTGTTGGATGTGAACTGTTTTTTTTTGAAATGCAAAGAAAACTTTATTATGTGTTGCGGGTACCAGGAGTACACCAGGCCAACACCAAATTGAGAAAGTTACAAATTGAGTGACAAAAAACAATCAATCCTGGAGGGATGGACGTGCCTTTGGCAGTATGTGAGACTTTGCTTGTTGCTTGCAGATGTTGGTCAGACAATCAGTTGGATTATGGAGCCAATCTGAAAGGGAGAAAACACAGCCTCCGTTTCTACTTTTTAGCCATCTAAATGTCCTTATTTGTACCAGCTCCAAGAGCCTCCTTCTGTCTGGTTCCTTCTCTCGAAAGATCTTCTCATTTCTAGCAGGCCATAATGTCCAAACAATACCAAACCAAATGCATTCCCATCCCTCCTTCCATTTCGCTCTTCTTAGTGGATTTGGGTGCTGCTGAAACACCTTCCAGCAGTCTTTATCAAGCACATGTATATAACCCCACCATTTAAAACAAGCATTCCAAAGATGCCAAGCAAAATTACAGTGAATAAAGAGGTGACTAGTATTCTCTGCTTCCCTACCACATAAAGCGCATTTGCAATCTTCAAGAGCTGGAATAATACCTCTTTTATGCAGATTAAGCTTTGTGGGGATTTTGTCCTGCAGTAATTGCCATGAAAAAGCCGAGATTTTGTTGGGAATCAGCTTGTTCCATACATTCTGGAGTTCCATTCCATGCTGCTCCGATCTAGTCTCCCTTGTGAGTATTTGATATGCTGAATTTGTGGAGAAAGTTCCATCTTTGCTGTGAGCCCATTCCCAAAGGTCCGGTTTGCCTCTGATGAGTCTTATGTCTTGAATGTCCTTTTGTAGATCTCTTGCTTGTTGAATTTCCCAGCTGAAGAGGTTTCGTCTCCATTGAAGGTTCCATTCCCATTTACCGTTCAGCCATTCTCCCATTTGAGGGATTTTGTTATCCTTCCCTGTAGATAGAGAGTAAAGTCTAGGATATTTGTTAGCAAGGCACCCTTCCCCTCTCCAGTTGTCCCACCAGAAATTAGTACTAACCCCTTCACCTACTTTTAAATTAAAACCATCAGATAACCATCCCCTATTTTCCCCTGCTATTGTGTTTACTCTACAGATGTCCCTCCACCATTTTGTTCCACTGTTATTCTCCTCTCTCAGCCAGTAGTAGCTATGTTCCCCCGCCTTCCCATATTTTTCAAAAATAATTTTTTTCCATAGCCCTTTTTCCTCCGACACTAATTTCCCCCACCATTTTCCTAAGATAGCCATATTGAACTTCCTAAGGTCTTTTACTCCCAAACCACCTTTCTTCTTATCCTTACACACCACTTCCCATTTAACCCAATTGATCTTCTTACCCCCTTCAGTCCCACCCCATAAAAACCGTCTACGAATTTGATCAAGGAGCAGAATCGTACCTTTGGGTATCAAGTATACCGACATCCAGAAGACCGGGAGACTATCGAGCACTGAGTTAATAAGAGTAATGCGACCTCCGAGAGATAGAAACCGACCCTTCCATTTGGATAATTTCTTGCTGAAAATGTCTATCAGCGGTTTCCAGAAGGCAATCTTCCCGTAGCGTCCCCCAATCGGGATGCCTAAGTATTTGAAGGGGAAAGATCCCTTTTTGCAGCACAGCACCCATGACATTTTTTCTATCCATTCTTCCTCCACAGAAATGCCAATTAAATGGCTCTTATTGAAATTGATCTTAAGTCCCGACACCAATTCAAAGGATCTTAAGATTGCCTTC